TTTTTTTTTTTTTTTTTTTGGTTTTTTGATACAGGGTCTCACTATGTAGTTGAGACTGACCTGGAACTATGCAGTCCAGGCTGGTCGCGAACTCATAATGATCCTCCTGCCTCAGCCTCCCAAGTGCTGGAATTACAGGTGTGCACCACCATGCCCAGCCATACTGTATTACTCTTGGCAAGAGATGATGTGCTACAGTTGTCACACAGGAGATGGTCAGAAATGACCAGATTTAGGGTGTATTTTCGAGGCAGAACCCTTAGGGATTGCTAGTGGTTAAATGAAGGAATGAGGTAATAGCAAAAAGAACAATTAAAAAAGAAATACTGGGAAAAGGGATAGTAGCTTCTGTAAATGCTCAGACGAGGGTGGACTCCAGTGGCCTGCAGTGGCTCTGCCAGGCCAGATGAGGCCCACCATGCCAGAGGACCTCAGTGAGAAGGTGCATTGTGGACAAACCCAAGTCCCTGCTCGGGAGTGACAGCGCCACACAGCTGCTACCCTGGGAAGGGTGTGTCAAGGGGGCAGAGGAGCCCAGGCCTCAGTGTGCCAAACGGAATCCACACCCCTGCTGTTGTGTGACGTGAGCCCCACCAACCCGGGTCTCAGGCTTCTGAAGCAGTTTGTGACGTGGGAGCTGGTGACACAGACTCACCACTGAAGTCAGAAACAAGACACTCTGGGAATGGCGTTTTCTCCCTTCTCTGCTCCAAAAACATGTGTCCTCCCAGGTACCAAAGCTGTCGGGCACCTGTCCACTCAGGCCACAGCAGAAAGGAGAGTCAAGCTAAATAGCAATGCCCCCACAGTGCACCGCGCATACCTGTCTGCTTTCCTGATTTTTGCTTCTCTTTCTGTCTTCGGGTGATACTGTCCCTTAACCGTTTAAGATTCTCCTTTAAAAAAAAAAAAAGAGTTTAAATATACTCCAGAATTATACCCTTTGAACATTAGAGTTATTTTCTGATTGTATGCTGCATGCAAAGTCTATCACACTGCAATACCATTTTCAAAATGCAAATGAGGCTCGGTGTAGTTGTTTTTAGACAGACCCAGATCCTCATCAAAGTTGTGTCCAAAGAGAAGGCCCCTCTTTCACAATACGATGTCTTCCCTCTCCTCTGGCTCCCAGCTCTGTTCCCTGCTCTATAACGCCTTGCCTTTCCCTATGGACACCATGTAACAAAACCAGTCTCTGACCTACTCACAGATACTCTGCATCCTTCCTCCCTCCGCTGACCTTGAAAGAGGCTGAGTCCTCTCAATGAGTTTGTTCCAGGCCTGGGTCAAGCAAGACCCCCCTTTGTTCCTGATGGCCTTCAGCCATCTGGCACATGGATTACACCATTCTGCCTCTGTGTGTGTATGTGTGTGTGTGTGTGTGTGTGTGCGCGCGCGCCTTGCCTCTTCAGGATACACAGAATCTTCAAGGGCAAAAGACTAAGTCTTGTACAGTTTGGCCATCTGGTCCAGTGTAGTCATTCAATAAGTGTTAAACAGATATTTTAGGGTTAAGATTTTTTTCTATTTTAGTCAGCCAACACCAGTGTCTAAGCATTCTAGGGAAGTTAAGCGCCTGAGCTTTCAACACCATGAGGAAAATGTCCAATCAATCTGGCTGAAGCAGAAAGTTCAGTGAGGGAATCACCAGAGGCCAAACTGGAAAGGTTAGCTGTTTTTCACTTACAGGCTGAGAAATGGAGCCTTATGCAGGAAGCAACAGAAATCTGAAAGCTGTGAGGTGATCCTGGCTTTAAGATTCTGGTGAACTGGAAGGGGAGGAGTTGAAGGCAAGAAGACCCACCTGGAGATGAAGCAGCAGGCCATCTGCAGGGACAGGGCTGTTAGTGGTATGTGGTTGGGAAATTGAAAAGATAGGGAGAGATATGAGAGGAAAACCACCACAAAGCAAGAGCAGGCAAGGCATGCAGCTGATTGGAGAAAAGGAAGCTGGGAGAAGAGCCTCAGAAACTTGAAGTCTGACTTGAAGTCTCTGGGAGATGGCAGAGCAGTAAATAGAAAGAGGGAGTCAGGAAAGAAGTAGCCTTGAAAGATGCTTGTTGTTGGACATGCAGCAGGTCTAGGGAAACTCAGGAGGACCCACCCAGCTGGTGGCTGAGGAGTCATGGGGCTGGAGACACAAACTCGAGTATCACCTGCACAGAGGAGGTGCTGAAGGGAACCTGGGCAGCACTCGTTTATGGAAGGGGGAGCTTAAGAAGATAGAGGAACAGACTGAAAGGCAGAGGAAAAGAAGATGGGTCACCTGACGGATAGCCTCCTTATCACCAGCCACGGATGGGGGAGGCTTAGGAAGCATCAGGAAGCTGTCCAAATGTGCTCCAGTGGGCTAGGGTTCTCTACTGTGCGGAATATAAATTGCAGCTATCTCTTGCACTCAGCGTGAGTTCTGGGCAAGTTCATGGGAAAGAAGAGGCCTATTGATAGTTCATATTTTGTATGGATTTGCTCTGCACCATACATGGGCCTTACAGGCTTGAATCATCTGGCCCTCCCCTTCACTTTTCAGAGGTAGAGAAAGGGAGGCACAGCAATGTCAAGATCACCCAACTGCAAGTAGCAGAACAAGAATACAAACTTTGGCTGCTGCCTCCAGAACCCTGGCTTCCTATACAGCTGTGGTGCTACCCGGCCACACATAATGGTAAGGAAAAAAATCCCTGTTTGGCCACGGCTGGACTTCTCTCAGCAGGCCTGTAGTTGTCCTGGGGCACATGAGTGAGGTGGATCCTGCTTCCTGCATTCACCATTCAGGATGATGCACAGTCACTCGCAAAGATATATTGACAGTGTTTACAGGCACAGCCACAGGTGCTCAGCTGGAGCAACACTGGACAATTGCCACCCGCCTCCCTCACCGCCCAGTGGCCAAGTGACATGAAATGGCTTCTGATAGTGCTGGCTACCTGCTGGAAGCGAAAGGACTCAGATCGTTTCTTCTGGTTGAGCTGCCATTCCTTGAAGTGCAGCACAGCCTCATCCACGTTGACGATGCCCAGCTTCACCTGCTCCTGCAGGGTGATGAGCTGCCGCTGGCCTGGCGTCTTCATCCCAGCGAATGGGTCATACACACTTGACTGGGGCCTGTCTCTCCAAGGTCTGACAGGCGGCTCTGAAAAGGTAGCAGAACATAGCTTTGACAGCTCCTCAGTATGTGTATGTGAGGTCAGGGGGCAAGGAATGGGTGACAAGGCTGCTGACAGATTCAAGAGGGCACACTGCAAAGAAGGAGCACACACAGTACTTCTCAATCCTGATACCACTGACATTTGAGGCCGGAAGGTTCTTTGTTGCGGAGCTATGCTGTGCCTTGCAGGATGTCCAGCAGCACTGTCAGCCTCTACCCACTGGGTGCCAGCAGCACTCTTTTCCCCAATTGTGACAACAAAAAATGTTCTCAGATACTGCCAACTGTCCTCTGGGGAGGGCAAAATCATCTCCACATAAGAAATGCTGCTTTAGACTTAATCACTTCTAGAAGAGAATATATAAGAAGAGTCTAGCCAAGATGCATCTCCCAGCCCTATCTCAGCAGCGATTATAGACTAATTGGCATGAAATGCCAGAGGACACAAAACACCAATGACATTGTGACCCAGGCCCAGTAGTACCAGGTATTGATGAAGTGCTGGGTTATAGCTAGCTATTCTTGGGCTGCTCTGTTCCAGGCTCTCTTTCATATTACAAATGCATAGTTCTCTGCTTTGGAGAACCTGGGAAAACATAAAGCCAACCACTCCCTCCCCAGTTCTGCAAGGAATGATCTACTTGCAGAGACGACAAGGCCACTGGCACTTGTGAAGACAACTTGACATTGTATTTCTTGATACATTTAGGGCTATTTGACTCCACATCTCTCCAGCATGGGCACTAGGATTCAAGGACACAACAAGATGGAAAAGAGAAATGGCTTCACCAATGAATGTTGGGGGGGAAAGTGGAGTTTATCTATTATTTGTCCAGCCATTCACTCATCTGAGTACACATAATCACATACCTTTTAACCATGTTTGGCCTTTTTAAGGTTTTGAGAGATGGGGTAGAAGAGAAAGCAAAAGCATAAGCCAATCAAATCAGTTCCAATCTCCTACTACCATAGTCTTTTGAGATGCCTTTAAATGCTTATATTGAGTCACGGCTACTTTCCAAAAGAATCCTCAATGGGATAATGAATGCCTCTATTTAGTACAAGCAAATTAATGACAGGAAGGAGAGCATTTAGCTCCTCAAACTTCCATAAAAAGTCTTTAAAAGAATGGAATGTCCAAGTCCTTACCCAACAGCAAGAAAATGTCTTGAAAATTAAAGATTAATTAAAGCACAACTGAGCTAGTAAACAGCCCAGAAGGGCTGTGTCACAGATAAAGATTGAGTGCTGGGCAGCCCACTGGCACCCTGTTGGCATTAATCTCAATGTCCAGATTGTACTTCTATGTGCTGACACTTTCTGGTATTTTCATGCTCCTCTCAGTACAGGACTCTCAGACAGCTGCTCCATCCTAAGGCATCTCTTGAGTCGCTATTTTGCAATGTGAAGAAGCCATTACCCTAAGAAATCTCTGAGGTATGAGCTCTCTATCCCATTAAAGTTCCACTAATAACAAAAGGAAGTTAAGCACAAGGTGACTTACCTTTCAGGAGGCTCTCTGAGGAAACATACAAATTCCCAGACTGCTCTTGACTTTTTTCTCCAAAAACTGTGAGAGAAAGAATATTCTAAGTAAAATGCCAAGTTTTTTCTTTCTCTTTAAAAAAAACTTTTTAACTTTGTTATTAGTATATGTTTGCAGTACATGCAGTTTATAATCATCTTGAGGAGTGCACACATGTAAATAATATAGCTTGTTTCTTTTTTTTAATCCTCTTCCCCTTCCTTCCCACCTTCCTCTCTCCTCCTCTAAATTCCCTTTCCTCATTTTCAGTTTTATTGATATTATTAATCTTAGTTCTTGTTTATGACATACAATGTTTGCATTCATAATTCCTAAGGATTCTATAACATTTTATATTTTTACAAAAAATACATAAGATCCTAATGGTATAATTGACAATGTGAAATAGGAAGAAAAGGGCTAAAGGTGTAGGGAAAGGGGGAAGGGTAGGGGAAAGGGAATAAGGGAAAAGAAAAAAATATGAGAAAATGAAAAAATGGAAATAAAGTGTTTGTAAATGGGGAGGGGTGGAGGAGATGAAGAGAGGGCAGGGACAAGGGGAAAAAATAAGAACCAAGACCTGTCGTGTAAAGGTACAAGATCCCAAAAATGAATGTAACTGAACTGTATACCTAAAATGTACCAATAAACTCAATGAGGAAAAAAAAATCTTGTGCAAAAAAGGATGTACTATCCCATTATTACAGTTCTCTAAATAAAAACTTCTGAAAGAGACAACTAATGAGAAGCTGTAGAGATTGTCACATAAGACAGGCCAGACAGACTAGCTGTCAAACTGAGAAAGCCAAAGCTAGCAAAAGGGCATGGTCAGTGCTTAAAGAAAAGGGTAAAAAAAGAAAAAAACAGCATTAAAGAAAAGGACAACAGGAACAAGGAAATATGCCCAGGTCATGAACACCTGAAGCTAGTCATGGGAGACCTTGAAGAAGAAGGATAAAAGGAAATATCTAGCATTTAGGCCAACGATGCCATGAGACCCGACTCTAAGCAGTGAAGTGTGTGCAGAGCTCCAAAGTAACTAAAATCAGTCACTGAGGAAGGCACAGAATCAGAAAGGAGAATGAATACAGCAAAGTAACAAATACAATACACCCTTAGTGCTAAGATGGCATGGTCATTTTGGTTCCCTGGGCTCAGATTGAGATGTTCCTGGATTCAAATCCTGGCTCTGACCCTTAGGAATTATACGATCTTGCACAAGAGGCATGACCTCTTCCTTCCTCCACCTCTTATTTGTAGAATGAGGAAGGTAACAGTATTTCCACTGGGTTGTCCTGAGCATTAAGTGAGTTAATACATGGAAAGTGCTTAGGATAGAATTCAGCACGTGTAAGCACTAAGGGCTAGATTTTATTATCATTATTCTTATCTAAACTTCAAGACTGATGCTGGTAAGACAGCAGGACCTTGGTGTGCTAGTTAACTCAAGCGATGTCTACATGGTATCTTACAATTTAAAAGTGCTTTCTGCATGAATGCTTTTATCTGACCCTCAAATAAGACTGTGGTATATTATCAGGGATTACTATGACATATATATTAGTGTAGACATGTATCACTATGATAACCATTTTAGAGATAAGGAAACTAAAGATAAAAGGAGCAAAACAACTTATCCGATGTCTATACTGTACACCAGAAAATGCAAGATCCAAGAGATGAACCCAGGTGTTCTGGCCTCCAGCCCATCACCCCTTCTGTCACCTCATGCTTGTCTCCTTTCCTCTGCTTGCTCATGGTTTCCCAGCAAGTCCACTAGGGCTTGGGAATGCACAGGGCTTAGGAATCACCTGGGTCGACATCTCAGTCATCTCCCCAGTGAGGTACCATCTACACCTCCCCGATCCCCTCTACCCTTTAGGAATTGCCAGTATATATCTGCACGCTTCTTACTGTGGTTCCCTCAGATACAGATCGTAAGCTAAGGATCTGAATGTAAGTAGTCTAGTTGGGAGGTGACAGAGCCAAGGCAAAGGCAAAAAATGTTGGGCTATCAAGCACTGACAGCCATGGACAATCCTAGGATTCCCTAAAAAGCAACATGGAACATCCAATTCAGAGTTTCCAGAAGGGCAAACAAACCGGGATATTCATCCACAAACTCTCAGCAGTCATTAATTGAGGACAGAGGCCACTGTGCTAACTCTCTAGTGCTTCCAGCTTCTCTTGCAAGGGGGTAGAGGAGGTCTTAGGCCAGAGAAAGCCTTCAGGCTAAGAGACAATAGTGAAGACAGGTGGAATCTGGCAAGATGGCACAAAAATGTAGAGAGCCAGGGGGACAAGGGCAGGACACCAAACGGTATCTGCTGTATATGCCAAAGAAAATGCTACCCAAGGCTGGCCAGACCACTGATGGCATTTGGCAATACAGAGCATCCCATAATGTATTACAATGCAATTTAGGGTTGCTAGATTGAAAGGACCAAAGCCAAAGCCAAGATAGTGAAGTACTTGGAACATACTTACACTAAAATGGCTGCTTATCTGCAATTTAAAGTTAACTGAACAGCCTGTATTTTACCTGGCAACCCAACCCAGTTTCTGGGAGCTCTGGATAAGCAATGCCTACCCCAATATATGATCTCACTTCATCACGGTTTGTACAATATGCTTATATTAAAAACAGAATACAGACCTAGAGCACAGATCTGGGAATTCTACTCTTATAATACTTACATAACCAAGACCTGAAAGACATCAAGCTGATGATACCATCTAACTGGTTTCCCAGGGGCAATTATGAAGAAGTTGAAATCCAATGTTTTATTGATGTAAATAGGCAGGGAGCCCAACATAGTAGCTAAAAGCCAGGGCTATGGAGGTAGAACTCTTGCTTCAAAGCCTGGCTGAGCTGCATAGTGATTGAGTAATCTTTGTAAGCCTCAATTTACCTATCTGTAAAATGTGAATGATGCTCCTAACCTAAAAGGTTATTGAAGCGATTAATTGTAAGGTTATATGTAAGGATTAAAATTCAATAAATGTCACCTATTAAAAGTATTAATAATAGTAACAAGAAGGGGTTTGGGAGACAAAAATGTACAGGTTTTTGTTGACCCATTTTTCCAAATGCACATGAATGCCTCCAGGAAGGAAATCTGTTCATTGCCCCCATCTCGCTCCAAAATTTGCTCTGAGCTATGACCTTATCTCCTGGGGCTTGCTGGAAAACATCCAGGAAAGGAGTCACTGGGTCACGCTTCAGAAAGCCAAGAGATCTGCAAAACTGATGCTGAGAAACTCTGAAGACCCCTGTGGACGACGTTATTCCCTGCGACACTTGCCTTTAGAAATGTATGGTTCATTGTCAGGCAGCTGATGAGCACTTGGAGCGCTGGCCTCTGGCCTGGGCACAGGGAGAGGAGGCCTGCTGGCCAGGTCCATGCAAAAGGCCTCTTCATCTTCCACTGTGTGATAAACATCTTCTTCCCCACCAAGATGGTACTGATCTCTCTCCAAACTGGTCATTCCTACGCTGCTGCCTAGAAACACAAAGAAAGGCGATTGAGAGCAGTAGCCAAGCCAATCAGATGATGTCAGTCATGAGAACACAGTGACATTTCCTGACTAGTACAATTAGGGCTCCAGGCAAAAGGGTCCCCCCACATCATCTGGTCAGAACATCAAAGGCAGGTGGGACAAAAATCAGCATCTCTTTCATTTGCCACCAACACTGGTGCAGCCAGAGAAGTGAGTACTAGGCCCTATAGCTTCAATTTTACTCTAGGATTCTATTATTCATCCCATTAGAACTAAGAGAAAGAAGGTACAACCTCCAAAATCCACAGGCACTTGGTGCTATGTTTTATAACTAGATGCCCCCCAAAGCCTCATGAGCTCATAGGAAGGGCTTTCAGGAGGTGACTAGATCATTGGGGTGTCATATTCATCAGTGGATCAGTCCGCTGATAAGTTCATAACTAAACATGATGTTGAGAGATGCAACCCAGTCAAAGGAAGCGGGTCACGAGGGGTGCTGCTTGGAAGGGTATATTTCCCTCCTCCCTTCATCTCTCTGTTTCCTGCCTGCCATGCAATGAACAGCTCTCCTCTGCAATAGCCTGCCTTGGAGCTGACTATGGACTATACTCTCCAAAACTGTGAGCCCAAATAAACCTTTCCTCTTTAAAGCTCTGGGTGTTTTGTTGGGGACTGTGGCTCAGGGATAAGAAGTAACGAAGAACCACCCATTGGTGTTAGGATAGCAGTGTAAGATGTTCTACCAGAGATGCCAGCATCTCCTTCATTCTCCTTAACACAGTTCCGAGGACTTCCTCTGTGCCAAGCACTGTTCCGAGTGTATCGGTCCACATCACTATCTTCTCTGATTTTATAAGAATGCAGCGGAATATCTGTACTCCTCAATCTCATTTGGCAGATGAAGAGGATTTAAGGATTTAAATAACTTGCCCCAAACCACTTAGAGTCAGGTTGGCACCCAAGAAAGCAGACTCCAGCTTGTATTCAATCTCCATGATCTGCTGCTTCTTATCTCTGCTCCCTTGTTGCTCCTCCCTGACCACACAGATCGCGGACGGAAAGCTTGCTTCCCACCCTTTGTCCCCCAGGTCCCCCCATCTTAATATTTCTCTGCAAAGTTCCGTTTCTGCTTCCTAGTACCATTCAGTCGGCAAAGGTTTATTAAATACCCATTTAAGATTCCACAATGAATGGAGCTTGGCTTTCTGCCTATGGAATCTCCAATCTAGTGATTTATTGGGAAATGTTGCTGTTGTTGTTGTTGTTGTTGCACCTTCAGAGTCTGCTTCCGTTTGCTCTTGGTTTTCAGTACCATGGGTCTAGAAGATTGATCAAGCTGGTCTCACTCATTAGCGGACTCTAGTGCCCAAGGCTCTGCCCTCAAGATAAGTTTCCATTTATCTGCTCATTTTTGAATATGCTGTACAAGGAGCTGAGGAAACTCTAGGGAGCCTTGTCCAGTGTTAACCAAAACAGGGTGTGCTGGCAGAGCTGCCATGTGCCCCACTCACTTCCTCAAGTGCCCGATTATGCTTCAGTTCATCCTGCAAAACTCTTGTCTGCCTCAGGAATGTTGTTCCTCTGCCTGGAACCTTCTCTTAACGCTGTGCCAAGCCAACCCAGCCTCCCTCCATGCTTCAGCAGAACGGTCACTTCTGACACAGGCCTCACTGACCACCCAGTCTAAACAGGGTCAGCCCTGGCCGGGGATTTAGCTCATTGGTGCCGCCACCTGCCTCACAAGCACAAGGTCCTGAGTTTGATCCCTGGTACTGCAAATAAATAAATAAATTGGGTCAGCCCACTATTCATCCTCACCATGCCTAATCCTTTGCCTCCACAATCCTGCCACGGCATCCCTTAAACATTAATCAGTGCGTTGGACTGTTTCCTGACTCTTTCGCTCCCTTGACTGTCAGCTGCAGAAGGGCAGTCCCTGCCCGCCCCCGCCATGTTATTCTAGAGACAAACACAGGGCCTAGGAACTCACCAAAGCTCAATTCTGTTATTGCAGTTTCTCAGGATTATTCTTATAACGAATGGATAAATGAATTCTGGGTGAAATATGTAGGCCAAACAGAGATACACAACAGGTTTGTTCCTTTCCCAGGAGTTTGTGTACTGTATTCATCTTCTTTCCTGGTGTCTTTCAAATCTGGCTAGGCAGATCTCTGGGGGCTTTCAGGCAACATTAAGGACTACTGCATGATCAGAGTAAGAGGTAAGCCTTTTCTCCCATGACAGGACAAAGCTTTATGGCTTCAGAAACTGAGAAAGCCATGTGTGTGGACCTTGGCACAAATAGCATTTACTTCCCTTAGCAACATCCGTCTACACATGGGTATTTGTTGGAAGCTTCATGCAAGGAGTACCACCTTCAAGGAGGGAGGAGGGGTGGTGTGGGGGTGGTGTGCACCAGGGGTCCCATGTCCTTCTCTCATTGCATCGGCAGTTACAGGCAATCACTTCAACAACTCTTTTGGCTCCTACTGGCCAAATAAATTTTCAGGAAGACTATTCAGTCCCACCCAGCTGCCAGATTCCCTGGGAACCTCAAAGGAACTCAGTTCTGGGGCTATTGTGTTCCCTGACAGAATAAATTCTGAACCTATTGCTCTGCTACTCCCATCTTGATCATATTATGTTATTTAAAATAATTAACTAATAGCCGGGCATGGTGCTGCACGCCTGTAACCCTAGCACTTGGGAGGCTGAGGCAGGAGGATCGCTGTGAGTTTGACACCAGCCTGGGCTACATAATGAGTTCCAGGTCAGTCTCAACTACACAGTGAGACCCTCTCTCAAAAAACCAAAAAAATAGGGCCGGGGATTTAGCTCAGTGGTTCTACCAACTGCCTTGCAAGAGCAAGGACCCGAGTTCGATCCCCAGTACCCCCCCAAAAAAAACCAAAAAAATAAAAAAAAGTTAAAAAAATAAAATATTTAATTATTACATTAAATAACAAACACCGTTGATATGTTTCAAGGACTGCTCTGTGCCAGGTACTGCATTTTATTGGGGACACAAAGTTAATCCCTGCCAAGAACTCCTGACAACTCTCTGGAGCTAACTGGCTGAAGGCCACAGGACTAGGGTACAGGGACAAGCCTTACAATCTGGTCCTAGATCTGTCCAGCCTTATCTCCACATTTCCTTCCTTTTCCTTTACAGACATCTTATCTGTAGTTTTCAAACTAATTCTTCAGAGCTGCATAACCCCAAAAGATGTTTCTAGAATCTCATCAGGTGGAAATGAGAGGCCAAGCAGAGAGACTGAGAACAGTTCCACTTTCCTCTGTGTTGTAGACTAAGCCTTCAGGTAAGGTTTTATTTGAAATAGTGTTTTAGACCTTTTCTACAGCCCTGGTTGGGAATATAAGCTTGGTAAAACAACAGAGAAGAGTGTTTTGGTACTGTCAAAATTAAGAATACACACTTCCTTAGATCCAACAATTCTACTTCTAGTAATTTATAGTACATGTAGACTCAAATATATGAAAAGATATTACACAATACAAAGATATTCATTCAGGCAAGGTTTATACAAGCAAAAAGCTGGAGACAACCTAAATAGTCTCAACAGGAAACTGGAAATACACTAGGTAATATTATACATAGTGACTATGTGGCTGTTTAAAAATTAATATTGTGCTGGGATATTACTTGTGAATAACAGGAAAAGGAGACATATGTATGTATGTACATATTAACATGTCCAGAAATTTTCCAGAGCATCGAGGGAAGGAGGGAAACTTATTTTCATTGCTTATTTTTTGTATCATTTGGATTTTTATTATTCACATGCAGAACTTTTATGATAGTCAACAACAGCAACAGGCAGAGATAAAAAGAAACTGAAAGAGGGTTCTATTGTTAAAGAAAGAAAAGAAAGTGCTGCTCTAGACCTGAGGTTCTCCAAATGAGTTCTTGAACCACCTAAGGAAGTCAAGAAGATGAATCTTGGGTACCATCCAGAATCCCCTGAATCAGGCATTCTGCAGGTGGGACCAGAGATGGTATCTTATTTAACAAGCCCTTCACATGGGCCTGATGTACACTCAAGTTTCAGGATCACTGCTAAAGGAAATAGTTTGGAAAGCTCTGGTAGCTGGTGTGTACCGAATACCTATTGTGTGTCACATAGTATGTGACACCTTCCCTACTGCATCATCAGAGTCTTATCGGACACAGCAACCGGCCCAAGATTAAGGTAAGTACAAGCCCAGGAGCAGAATCTGTCTATGCAAAGCCCTCTTGAGTCCCTTAGACTGCCCAACACCAATGTCCAAACCCAAGTCATCCCACCACACTTGGGACATTTTTCTTTATACCACACTGTACTTTTCATACTGAATGAAAGTTCACTTGGAGTATGTGTCTGTCTCCTCTGTGGGGCAGAACTGAGTGTTACTGATACCCGGACACCAATGTTTGGCACAAACTAGCAGTTTAATGAATGATTAAAAAATTGTCTCTTCAACTCAGGACCAAATGTTGAGACCAAGATGATCAGAGGCTCTCGTCTAATTCCTAACCCCAGTGTTCTTACCATGTGGCCACATGATGTCCCTTCTCAGGAAAGGGAGGAACAGTTTTACTTCCATTCAGAAGGTGGCAGTGTACCCAAGGGTCACAGCAGGGACTCTGAGCAAGGTTGGAAGGTTCCTACACTCTTCATATCTCTGATTCTTCTCTCACAAAATGAAGATGATAGTACCCACCTTACGAGGTTGGATCACGAAGTGATCACACACAAAACACTTAAAGTAGGTCTGCTACACCGCTAAAGACTGCAAGGCAGACCTGAGGCCAAATGACATGGTGGCAGCAAATCCCATGTCTAGGCCTGTCCGTGCCGCTCTTGGGACCACGTGCTGGTCCAGGCACTGACTAAGAGACTGATCTGTGGCTGCGCAGAATGCCCCAACACTTGGTTTTAAAGCAGGGGTCAGCAAGTATTAAAGGTACCGATAGGAAATATTTCAGGCTGTCCAATCCGTTGAAACTCCAACTCTGCCCTGATAGAATGCAAGCAGCCACAGATAATTCTGAGTGGGTATGGTATGTTCTGAAAACACTTTATTTACAAAAACAGACAGCTGGCCAGGCTGTTGTTTGTCTGTCACTGCGTGACAGATTTTTCATTCTCCTTACTGCCCAAACCATTTGTTTTTTAGAGTCCCATCCTCTTGACACTTGGCCTTCTATATCTATGTGATTAATGGATGCATTATAAATTACTAATGATTGAACAGGGTTAAGTAATTACTCATACAATTTAACACCTTTCATCTATGAAATTATCATTATCATTATTATAAACTTTTGTTATGCTCTTGTTATATGCTGGGGTCTGGTCTCAGGCCTAAGGTACAACTCATTTAACCCTCACAACATGTATCTCATTTTACGACTGAGGGAGCTGAATAACTTGCCCAAAGTTTTCCAGGCAACCGAAGAGAGAAATGAATTTAGGACCGAGCCCATGTTCTTTACCACTCTGCAGTGGAACCTTGACTTAGTCAGATTTGGGTATCTTCCTCTCCCTCACCAGAAAGTAAAATGTCTTTAGAAAACCAATCATATGCTATTTCTGTGTATCCCCCCAACCCCAACATCTGTAATGATGCTTTGTACATAGTATGTACTCAACAAATTTCGGTCAAATAAAAATAGGCATATGTGTTTTAAAAGAGGTCTTGCTGAAGCCAACTGGGTTAGCCAAGTAACTGGCTCCACTGGTGGAAACTTCCGGCCTACATGTAACAGGCCAATGGGGGAGGGTGGGGTGGCCAGAACCGGCAGGCAGAGCACCTTCCGTCACATCGTATGCCACGCACACAGCCCCTCATTCCTTGGGTGGAGTACCGAGTACCCTTCACATGGAATCAAGCAATGTCTGTTTCTCTTTTTTTTTTTTTTGCTTCCCTGTTCATAGCTACCACTTACCTTCTAAAAACTTGCGGATCATAGAATCCTTAGTAGGCCTAGAGAAACCATCACCGGAGACTGTGTTAGATGTATTTGCCTGAAGCATTTCAACATCTAGAAAGAAAAGGAGACTAAGAGTCAATGTGGGGTTCTTTCAAATAGGCATGGTGATCTTACAGGTGGATTTCCACCGTTTGAAAACTTTCTTAAAAGATTCAAGCATTCATCCATCCATTCATTCATCCTTCCTTCCATCTATTCATCTATCATCTACCATAAGGACACCCAGAAAGTACTAAGAATAAATGAGAGGAACATTTACAAACCCAAGGTCCCTTCTTCGGCCACAGGCCTCAAAAGGTATAGTTATACTCACATGCACTGGAGAGAATAAGCTTCTTTTGAAACATGCATTGTAACACTGTTTATTAGAGCAAACAAACAAGCTAATGGATGCAGGAACAACAAATAATAGACAAACTGTGGGGGTCTCTTCAAACAATGTAATATTATGCAACAGTTAAAAATAAAAATGAATTGGAACTACTCCTCCAACACAGTTATACCTCAAAAACGTAACAGTGAAAAAGTTACAGACAGATAATTACAATATGAAATTGTTTACAAAAATCTTGATGGCCTATAGAACAATATAAATTATAATTATATAATTATATAATTATAATATAAATATAAATTATTTATGAATTCATAAATATACTAAGAACAGTAATTGTGGAATTCTGGTAGTGGCTACTTCTGGAGAGAGAGGGAGGACAAGTGGATTCCAGAAGGTAACAAAGACTGCACCTGGACCACAATATCTGATTTTTAAAAACTGTCAAAAGATGTGAGACCAAAAAAGAAAGAAAAAGAAGTACATATTTTTGTATTAGTCTGATGGATTTAAAGAATTAGAATCTTCAAAAAAATACATTTCAGATAAGTAATTACCCAAAGGGACAGATGTAAGATTATATTTCTGTATGTAAAACAAACTTCATAAAGAGATGTAAGAAACTGAAATCAGTGGTTTCTTGGGAACTGAAAAGGAGACAAGGAGTGGAGAAAGTCACTCTACTGGTCACCTTCTTAGATTTTAGTTTTTTAGGCCAGGGATTTAGCTCAATGGCACCGCACCTGACTTACAAGCGCAAGGTCCTGAGTTCGATCCCCAGTAACAAAAAAATATATATATTTTTTAGTTTTTTAGTTTTTCTAAATGTAAAGAAATGTAGTGCTTTGTTTATATTATCTTACTTTCCAAAAGACACACAAACTAAAAGCCAACCTCGTTATTCCTTCTTCTTTATAGGGGATTCACTGCCCTGAATGTAATGCACCTTAGAATCTGGACACAAAGCCCTGAAGTTCGAAACAAGGAACCAGTTAAGTGAATCACTATCATTTCTATCATCCCTGAATTCTACAGGAGGTTGTGGAGACATGGGGGGGTGGGTAATAAGATAAGAACTCACACTTTATTCTTGAAAATTGAAGACAAAAATTCTACTTATTCTAAATTTTCAGTTTAATTCATTTAATTATGGTTTTGTGGATCATTCCCCCATGCAGTTAGAAAGTTGGGAAGAACGGCATATTTATTCTATAGGTGTGCACCCTGTTGGAAGCAGGACTCTCCTCTACCTGACCAAAATCTAGTGTTATCTGCCATCCCTACCCTGACCCTAAATTCCACACCCAGCCCGCTGATCCTGACCTCAGTCAATTTTGAAAATCTTTATTTTGAAACTCTGCATCGGCCCAACAATGAAGCACAGAGTAACACTCCCAAGTGCAGACCTGGCTGAGTCAGACACTACTACATACAAGGGGAGAAAGAAATTCTTCAGGCCTATTGTCAGGGTTGAACTCTCTAGAAAATACAGCTGGCTAAGGCCGCAGTGTCTCCTCTCCAAGAACCTGGGCACAGCAGGCTCGGGATAGTTTTAATCACCATGACCAAATCTCCCATATAGGCAACACCAGAGCACAACTGTCACATACACAATGTGTCATCCCTGCTGAGAGAGAGGTAAAAGGGTTATGGGATGGTCTATCTGTTCTGGCTAAAAAGTTCAATTTAAGAGAACTGATTTCCTTATCTGAGAGTAGTTGCAAAATTAAGAGTTACAAAAAATTAGAAAAACAAAATATGGAAGAAAATGGCAGCAGCAACAGCAGGCCTGTCTGAACCTGGGTGGTAATAGAAAAACTGGCCCTGGCACCAAAACCCCCATCTTAATGTGCTGAATGTTGGGGGCTTAAAAGAATTCTTTAAAAGAAGAGAAAACAAAAAAGAATGCATACCAGTAACAAAACATATCAACACCATGACCCTCTGATCTGATGCACTGAAAAGGATCTAACATCATTCCTAAGCATTCTTCCCAAAATTCGTAATTTCAGTCCCATCACAGAAAACACCAATATATTCAAGTTGGGGGATATTCTGTGAAAAAAATAATTCCTCAACACTCTTCCAAAGTGCCTTGACATGGAAAGATCGAGGAACTTCTACAAATTGGAGGACACTAAAGAGAAATAATGAATACATCATAGGGTCTGGACAGGATTCCAGAACAGGGAGCAAACATTGGTGGGGAAAATCAGTGAGATCTAAACAAGGTCTACAGTTCCGTTAGAAGGGCTATGCCAATGTAACCTTCTCACTGTGCTCCATGTAATATGGTTACTAAGATTCTCAGTAGCCTGAGTGGAAATATGCAGGAACACTAGTGTTTCCCATCTTTCAAGTCTAAAGGTAGCCCAAAATGACTTTCTTTGAAAGGAGGAGAATAAATCAGAAAAAGAGAGGAGAAACTGTGGCAGAGATGCTGAGCTTCTTTCCTGTCCCCTTACGTCATCAAGATGAGCCACTTGTGGAGCACAATGAAGAATGCCCAAAGCAGTCTGAGGGGCGAGCCATCTGTGACCGTCACCCCTTAACAGGTGGTTCGGAGCATGATTTGGGCAGTGGACCCGTGTGGCGTCCGTGGTGACCCAGTGCTACGGTTTGGGTCTGGATGCCCCTCCAGGGTCTCACATGCTTAGAGGTAGGACTTTTGGAAGCTGACTGGACTACTAAGGCCCTACAGGATACTTGCTGTGAGGAGGTGGGGCCTCGTTAGAGGCCAGTCCCTGGGGGTGTGAGCTGCCTAGAAGGGTACATGTCCCTCCCTAATTCCTCTCTTTGTTCTCTGCTTCCCGGTCACCATGACATAAGCAGTTTTCTTCTGCCCAGAACCTTTTGCCATGTGTTCCTGTGTTTAAATCTGCTGAACATGGACTAAAGCTTCTGAACGGTGAGCCAAAATAAACATCGCCTTTCTTTTTCTTTTTGGTACCAGGGATCAAACTTTGATCCTTGAGCTTGTGGGGCAGGCGGCGGAACCACTGAGCTAAATCTCAGACTAAACATTGCCTTCTTTAAGTTGTAGGTGTTAGGTATTTTGTCCCAACAAGAAGGAGGTAACTAAGACACCCAGCCTCCTTGGTAGAGAGTGTGTGGTAGGTGATTAGAAGCTTGTACATCAGGTCAGCTGGTTTGTTTTTGTTTTGTTTTATTTTTTGTACTGGGGATCAAACTCGGGTCCTTGCACTTGTGAGGCAGGCGGCGGAACCACTGAGCTAAATCCCCAGCCCTGTCTTTTTGTTTGTTTGTTTATTTTGTTTTGTTTTGTTTGTTTTTTGGTACCAGGGATAGAACTTGGGACCTTGCGCTTGTGAGGCTTGTTTTATGTTTTATTTTTTGTACTGGGGATCAAACTCGGGTCCTTGCACTTGTGAGGCAGGCGGCGGAACCACTGAGCTAAATCCCCAGCCCTGTCTTTTTGTTTGTTTGTTTATTTTGTTTTGTTTTGTTTGTTTTTTGGTACCAGGGATAGAACTTGGGACCTTGCGCTTGTGAGGCAGGTGGCGGAACCACTGAGCTAAATCCCCGGCCTGCACATTAGATCAGAAGGCCTATATTCCAATTCTGATTTTCCCACTTCTTCTGTTTTCTGGTTGTATGACTACACACCCACCAGCCCAATACCGACTAATCTTTAAGGTCAAATGGAATGCCCTGATTCACAAGATGACCAAGCTAGGCATCACTCTACTCACAAGAACACAGGATACTGGCCAGCACGACAGCACCAAGAAGCATTCGTCAACTAGGAGCATCCAGGGCCAGGCCAGAAGCCCAAGTGCAATGAGATGAGGCCCACAGCAAGCAGGTGCAGGAGCAGGAGCTGCACTGGCGTCCCACAGGAGCGCCATCTCTCAGCACCTCCAGAAGCCTAGCTTCCAGGGTTCCCCTAAAGGAAATGCCAGGGTGCGGGATCTTCGAGAAGCCCAGGCTATGGGGCCCTTTCAGGTACGCGTAATTTATGTACCGCTCCTCATAGATGTTTCCCAGGTCCCTGTAACCAATCCACAGCTATTTTGATCAAAGGTAACATTGCCTAGAAACGGTTGACATTTGGCGCTTATCAGGTTACTAGGGTAACAGAGCTAGGAATTCAACCAAAGGTCAAATTCTCATGAAGAAAGGGAAATGATAACTGTTAGCTCTTTGCCTACAATTGTGGGTCAAGTTGTTTCAATCCTTTCAACTTCTCTTTTCCTGTACAAAATGGTAATGATGATAGTTTGTCTCTCATAGGTTTAGCACGAGTATTAATTAAGTTTACCAAGAACATGTGATAATGCCAAGAACATATGCACTGCTAAATGGATACTGGCTACTATTATTGTGACCATTGCTATTGTTTTTATTATTAAATCCTATACCCAGGCAAATGTCCAAAGCCAAAAAATTTAAAAGGAGAAAGCTCAATTTACATTTTTTAAAAATTTGAGGGCTGAGAAATATCTCACTAGCACAGAACTTGACTAGCGTGCTCAAGGCCCTGGGTCCCAGGTTCAATCCTCAGCACCACAAAAAAAATGTTTAATTGGCACATCATAATTATATATATTTATGTGATACAGTGTGATAATTTGATGCATGTAAACAGTGCATAATGATTGAATCAGGATAATTGGCATTTTCAACTCTTTAAATGCTTATCATTTCTTGATTTTGAACATTTGAACTGTTAGTTCTTTATACAATATAAAATAAATTGCTGTAAACTGTAATCACCCTACTGAACAGACTACTAAAATTTATATATAAAACTGTATTTTGGTACCCATTATCTAACATCCTGTTTCCTTTTCCCTCACTCTTCATAGCACCTAGTGACTACTATCCTGCACTTGTAAGAAATGGACTTTTTTTTTTTTTTTTTTTTTTTGTGTGGGATTTAAC